TTTTTTTTTTTTTTTTTTTTTTTTTTTTTGGTACAGGGATGGAACCCAGGGGCACTTAACCACAGAGCCACATCCCCAGCTCTTTTTTTGTGTTTTATTTAGAGATACGTTCTCTCCGAGTTGCTTAGGGCTACACTAAATTGCTGAATTCTCAATCCTCCTGCCTCAGCTTCCTGAGTGTGCCTCACCATGCCTGGCGAAATGCATGGTTTTTGATAGCAAAAAACGCATGTTTTCCCTCACGTTCTCTTGTCCCCGGCTAACTATAAATGAATGATCTTCAATATTTTAKAGTAAAAATAAGCCTGAGGATCACAAAATGTAAACAGATTGTGGCTCCTTATTGGAGCCTTTTTCTTACTGTGAGTGTGCTTCTTTCGGGGGAATGTAACAAAAACCCACGACATTTTTGGAAATTGTATGCTCTTTAGCAACTTTGTGTGAATTTTTATACAAGCACTGTTTCTTTATGGTGCTAGGGTTTAAACTCAGAACCTCATGCATCTACCCCAGAGGTACACTCTCACCCTCTTATTTCTGACTTGATAGCTCCAAAAACTATTTGACTGACATATCTGTGCTTTAAACCTTGTGGGCAGTCATCCTGGTGAACGCATGTGTATGTGTGTGTACACGTGTGTGTGTGTGTGTGTGTGTGTGTGTGTGTGTGTTGGAAATTGAATACAGATGTTGCTCTACCACTGAGCTATACCCCTAAGTCCTTTTAATTTTTTTTTTCCAACTTTGAGATAGGGCCTAAGTTGCTGAGGCTGGCCTTCAACTTGGTGATTCTTCTGCCTCAGCCTCCTGAGCCTCTAGAACTGCAGTCATGCCCCACTGCCCTTGACTAAGGAAGGCTAAACATTTTTAAAGTCCCCTCTGGYTGCAGGTGTCTGTTTTCTGAAGTAATTTAATAGATGAATACATACCTAAGAGCTCTACTTCTCAGAAATAAGAACTCCATTCCAAGTTAATTATGAGCTTTGCACTAGCAAGATGCAGTGGACTCTTAAAGAAGCTTCCAGGCTCTCTCTCTCTCTCTCTCTTTAAAAAAAAAAAAAAAAAAAAAAGAAGCTTCCAGGGAGAGCTGAAATGCAGGGTCCCTGGTGGGGAGGGGAAGGAACGTACACTGTCTGCTGGCTGAAACGGCTGCATCAGTCACACAGTTGTACCTGGAGGATGCATGTAATCCTTTGCAGAGACCTGTAAGGTAAGTTTCGTAATTGTCCCCTGATAAAGGGTGAGAGCCAGTACCCCCATAGTATCTAGGGCATCTCAACCAAGGCCCACAAAGGGTTGGTGTTGGGAGCACTCTTACTTCTGTTTTGTGGTAAGAAAGCAGGGAGCAGTGGGTTTCCTGCCCAAGTTCACACAATTGGTGAATGGTGCCAGGATTTGATCCCACACCACACCATCTTGGGTGCTAARTACCTGCTGAGCCACAACACCCCAAGATTCAGATCCCCAAACAATTTCAAGTCATTGGTCGGCCTCTATCACCACATCCTGTTAGCTCCCTCTGGTCCGATGTGAGATACAGATGTGCTGGTTTTAGAATCGCCATGGATGAAATCATAGGAGTGATTGTGGACAGACAGACATGTCCTGGAATAGCAAGGGAGTAAATTTTTTGCAATTGTAAAAGTAGTGGCTGTAGATCAGATACCTTGGGAGAGGCAAAGACAGGCAGGGCAACTCAAAAGAGGAGGCTGAGGGAACCAGGAGTCTGGTCCTGCCTGTAGTCTAGCTGTATTCCCTTGCTGAGGAGGATATGCAATAATATATGCCAGAATTTGTCCTAGTTGAGGCAAAGGGGCTGGGTGGCCATTGTCCGAGGTCTTTCTGGGAAAGGTTCTAGCTGGCAGGGTGGCTCCCTTCAGCCAAGGGCAGTGCTCCAGAAGGGGCCACCATAGTGATGAGTAGCTGACCTTCAGCAGCCAGGGGGTAGGCTTGCCTGCAGAGGGATCTCCATGGGATTCCACCAGCAGCCACTATAGCAATGTCTCAAGGTTTATCTGCATCAGAATCCAGGAGGCTTTTTAAAATATTGCTTGCTCCATCTTCCAAAAGTCTGATGTAGCAGATATTACCAAAACAGAGAGTACTTTATGAGCAACAGGTCTGAGTCCTGTAATCCCAGTTACTCAGAAGGCTGAGGCTGGAGTGAGACCAGCCTCACAATTTTGCAGGATGGGCACGGTTGATTGAGCCTGTAATCCCAGTGGCTTGGGAGGCTGAGGCAGGAGGATCACRAGTTCAAAGCAGCTTCAGCAATTTAGCAAGTCCCTAAGCAACTCAGCTAGCCACTTGTTTAAATAAAATATAAAAAGGGGCTGAGGAGCCTGGACTGTAACTCAGTGGCAGAGCACTTGGCTAGCATGCGTGTGGCACTGGGTTCGATTGTCAGCACCACATAAAAAGCAAATAAATAAACTAAAGACTTACTGTCTACAACTATATAAAAATAATTTAAAGGTGGGGTGCCAAGGCTGTGGCATTGTGGTTAAGTGCCCCTCAGTTCAATCCCCAGTACCAAAAAAAAAAAAAACAGCTAGGAATTGTAGCTCAGTGGTAGCACCGTTGCTTAGCATGTGTGAGGCCCTGGGTTTAGTGCCCAGTGCCACAGGAAAGAAACAAGATCTGAGCTGAAACGAGTGGTTTCCTATTGTCTTCATATAAAACTCTTGTTTAGCTAATTTAGCTTGGAAAATGAGTTTTCAGCTTTTAAGTCATTGGAAAGAGTCAAGTTTACAATGCTTCAACAGCAGGTGTTATGGGCACTGGCTGAATACAATGGCATTTGATAGAACATTCAGTATGGAGAAGGCTAYTGATTTTAAGGAAGAAGAATTAATTTGTTCTTCAAAACAGTCTGTATTGGGTTTGATGGTGCACATCTGGAATCCTGGCTCATCCAGAAGCTGAGGCAGGAGAATCAYAAGGTCAAGGTCAACCTCAGCAACTCAGTGATATCCTGTCTCAAAAAATTACAAGAACTAGGGACATAGCTCATAGAGATCCCTGAGTACTGGGCACTAGGTTTAATCCCCAGTACCAATAAGTAAATTAAGTCTTTGTGATGCAGATGATGAACTGTGACCTTGACAGAAGTGGAGAGCATGCAGTGCCACAACCTCCCTTCTAGGAGCTCTTGCAATGTGACAACTGTCAATTCAGAAGTGACCATGGATCCTTAAATAACAAGTCCTTAAATTACAGAAATGCCTYCTATTTTTTGAGCTCTATAATGGGGTCAGGGATGTGCTAGGAAATTGCTTTATGTTATTTCATGTGTTCTTCCAAATAAACCCATTTTACAGAACTGAAGCTTCCAGGTTTGATACTGTGGCCAAGGTTATCAAACCTACTAGAGCTGGCAGAGCTGGGGGAGGCTGACTCCAAGGATTATGCTTTTGATTTCTATGCTGCTGCTCCTGTACAGAGTGAGCCAATTTCTTCWGCTCTCTGCCTACTGATCCCTGTTATTTAACATGGGGTTTTGCTAACTGTCCACAGTGGGGCTTCTGGTTCTACCCGAGTGACAGTGAGTTTGACTTAGGAAACGGTTTTTTGTTTTTTTTTCCTTCTTCTTGTTTCTAGAGTTGGGCAACACTTCATTCCATAAAATAGAATAAGTATTCAGATGAGCCAAGCAAGGGAGGTTGGTTTTATAGAAAAAGGCTGAAGAAAGCAAGAACCAGGAGACATTTCAGTGCTGCAGAAAGGAGAATAAGGAATGCAGTAAGGATCATATCTGCCTCTAAAGGTGGCTCATTCATTCAGCAAATATATTTGGAGAACTAGCTACCTACTGGGCACTGTTCTACAATTTTAATGACTCCCAACCACATGAGTGGATACTTGAGCCCAATTGAGCCCATTGGAAAGAACGTTCTGGCAGTAAATAGCAAAAACCTGACATCTCTTGCCTAAAGCTGATTTTCCAGGTGTATGTTGGTCTAACCAGACGGGAACCCTGCTTCCTCCCCTCAGTGCAGACAGCTGCCGGCCCTGCAGATAGGATCTGCTGGCTCTGGCCTGAGGCACACCTGCAGGACGACTTGGTTTCCTGACTCCCCTGCTTCTCACAGAGGGAAACAGTTGCTAAGTGTGCMGAGTGCTGACGGCAGGGTTCCTTAGTGCTGGTCTTACTGGTATTCAGCTTGTGCTATTTCTGACACAAGGCATTAGACATTTGACTCCTTAGTTTTGACAAGCCAAAATCTTAGCACCGGCACAGGTCCACRCATGAAAAGGCATATTCTTCAGCACATGTAAGGCCCGTGGGGATGGGTGCCCTCACTTCAGGCAGTTAATACAGATTGTGTTGCTCAAATCCAGAGGGTTGGCCCATTTCGTTTCAGACTCACCTTTGGTTCTATGTGTCTAAATTGAGAATTAAAAGATTCCTCTACAATCCTAAAGAACAATCTCARTATGTTCTATAAAGAAGTGTCTGATGGTGACTTCTCTGAGTGCAGCCTTGGAAATGAATGTTTCCTTCTGAGCCTCRAAACAGAAAGTGCCCATTTTATTATTTACTTATTTGTTCATTTCTTTATTTTTGCAGTACTGGGGATTGAACCCAGGGGTGCTCTACCACTGAGCTACACCCCCAGCCCTTTTTTATTTTGGGGGACATGGTCTCACGAAGTTGCTGGGGCTAGCCTCCAATTTGTGATTCTCCTGCCTCAGCTTCCTGGATTGCTGGGATTCCAGGAATGGGTCACTATGACTGCCCAGAAAGTACCATTTTAGACACCCATTGTTCTTCCCTGGCTGCAGTCTTTAGGCCTTCCGTTGTCTGTCTTGGGGAAGATCTAGCCAGCTTTTAAGAATAAAGTCTCAGGCACAAGTGCACAGTGGTGTGCACCTGTAACCTAGTGATTTATGAGGTTGAGGCAGGGGGGTCACAGGTCAGCCTCAGCACTTTAGTGAGACCCTGTCCCAAATTAAAAAGTACAAAGGRCTGGGGATGAGGGCTCAGTGGTAAGGYATGCCTGGGTTCAAATCCCTGTACCACAAATAAATAAATAAAATCTCAGGATAGGCGGTCCTCTGAGTGCAGCTGGCATCTCTAGGATGGAATCAGTAAGTATATTGGGCTGACTATGGTGGCACACTTTTATAGTCCCAGTAGTATGGGAGGCTGAGGCAGGAGGATTTTGAGTTCAAAGCCAGCCTCAGCAACTCAGTGAGGCCCTAAGCAACTCAGCAAGACCCTGTCTCCAAATAAAATTTAAAAAGGGGTTGGGGATGTGGCTCAGTGGTTAAGTGCCCCTGGGCTCAATCCCTGGTATCAAAAAAAAAAAAAAAAAGAATATTGGGATGTCCTAAATCAGGCTATTGCGGCTGTCAAAGGGCTGGGAGGGCTCGTGTGTTTAAGAAAAAAGAATTTGGGAAGAGAGCATGTTACAAATAACCTCTTCACACCTGTATCACACTGGCAAAAAGTGAGCTGGATGATGCCATGGGCCAGGTGAGGCGACAGGACTGCTGGCACTTTGGTGTGGGGCTGGTGGAAGGCARCCAGTCAGGCATCCTGGAAGTCAGCAGCACTGTTATTTGTGATGAGGGGAGGAGGTGGGTGCAATCTGGGACAGTGTCCTTAGGGGAGCGAGGAAGTAAAATGTGGTCCATGCACTTGGAGGCAGCAGTGATTAGATGTAGGTACAGTGYCGCGGACAGATCTTAAAAACCATTCGGAGTGAAAGAAATAAAATACGAAAGGAAACACATAACAGTGCACTTAGGAAATCTTAAAACACTTATACTGGGCTGGGGATGTGGCTCAAGCTGTAGCGCGCTCACCTGGCATGCGTGCGGCCCGGGTTCAATTCTCAGCACCACATACCAACAAAGATGTTGTGTCCGCTGATAACTAAAAAATAAAAATTTTAAAAAAAATTCCATCTCTCTCACTCTCTCTTTAAAAAAAAAACACTTATGCAGAACAGCAAAATATTTCACAAGAAGGAATACAAACAAAAATGTCCACATTAAACACAGTAAAATGGTCAGCAAAATAGGGGAGGAGGGTATGTGGAAATATGCAAGGAGGGAGAAAGTGCCAAAGGTGTGGACATTGGTGCCAAGGTTTTTCCTAATGGAAAAACTCTTGTGTTGTTGGTAAATGTTTAACAACTGCTTCTCCAAGGGGAAAAAATTAACCCTGATTTGCAGTGTTTGCCAAGTTCCAAGGTAAAAGCCCTTGGRTGGCTGATTGGAGCTGTCCACAGGACTCACAGAAGCAGAGTTTGGGARATGCAGGTGCCTGCTCTGCTCTGCTCATGGGAACTCATCACTGTCTTCACTACCTCTTTGGAGATCTTCAATAAGTTGTGGATGGAAAATTCTCTGATAGGAACTTTTTGTAATGTTTTGAARCCAAAATTCTCCCAAGGTAAGGTAAAACTTTAGTGAAATATTATTTCACTTGCATAATATGCAATGCATACCCTTTTAGAAATTTCATGGAACATACACCACCCTCACACCCCAGCTGAAATCTCCTTTCTTCTAGTTTCTTGAAAAAATAGTAGTTACGTCTCTGTTTCCCCAACCATTAATGTCTAAACAAATGACTGGAGAATTATCTCCAAATGTCTATTTCCTGCCCCTCCAAAATGGTTAAAAGATAAACTATTGCCTACTCACTTATGTAAATGTTACTTGACAGGAAGTGTCATTAGCATCGTGTTTCCTAGAGATTTCTTTTTGAAAGGATAATCATTATTGGTAAAAGAGAAAGAATGGGCCTTTTCCAAAGCAATTTTTTAAGTTGTTCATCTTTTAAAAACTGCATACATCAGAAGCATTTTCACACTCTCCTGAAAGCGAGAACTACATAGTTTTAAAACCATGGGATGGGCATATAGCGCGGCACTATAGCGAGGTCCTGGGTACTAGCACCAGCACCACCAAAAAAAAAAAAAAAAAAAAAAA